ACATTCCTGGTGGTATCTCCTCTACATCTAACCTCTCTCACCCTGGATGTGACAGTGACTTCCTAATGTAGATCTGGATTTATTTACCTTCTTTTGATTGCTACACATTTATTCCCAAATTGAATTTCTTATTACTCAGGTAAATTCTTGTGTGATGACCACTGGGCTGTGTAACTATATTTTCATTTTCTATTTTCAAACCACTTTATGGAGGTATGATTGAGATACAGAAAGCTATAAGAATTTAATGTATACAACTTGATGAGTTGAGAGATAAATTCGTTTAGCTTGATCTACATATTGTAGGGTCGGGCTCCAAATTCCTTAATAGGACACCCATAGCACAAAAGTTGATAACAAAAATCAACAAATGGGACTTACTTAAACTGAAAAGTTTTCTCTCAGCAAGAGAAACAATAAAAGAGGTAAATTGTTTGTTTGTTTTTAGCACTAAGCTTCAAAGAAACAAAGGTTCAAACAGAGACTGTGATCTCTGGCTAAGTCTCTGCTGGGATTTACAGAAACAAGATTTTGTTGTTTATTACTTTCTCATTGTCTTTCCTATCTCTTCAAGGAGTTATGGTTGGTGGTGGTGGTGGGGAGCCAGTTAACAGTCTCTGCTTTATTTCTGTGGTGATAATTAACTCTAAAATTTCAACATGAAATACCATTCCTCTCCCTGTATGACTTGCTCCCCCCCTCTTTCACCACATCTTTTCACTGCACTTTCTACTGTGTTCCAATCACATTAGCCAAGGCCAGCTGTCCCCAGATATCCTGTGACCACCCCCACACTCTGTACTCAAAGTTCACCTCCAGCCTGGCACAATTGTGCACCCTTGTAATCCCAGCTACTCAGGAGTCTAAAACAGGAGAATTGCAAGTTCCAGGTCAGTCTCAGCAACTTAGCCAAGCCCTAAACTTAGTGAGATCCTGTCTCAAAATAAAAAATCAAAAAGGGGTGGGGATGTAGCTCAGTGGTAAAGCATCCTGGGACTCAATGCCCAACAAGGAAAGAAAAGTTCACTTCCAGATCTTCTATCACTAGCCCAGTGAACTATTGAGCACCTGAAATGTGCATAGTCTGAACTGAAGCATAAAACATACACCATTTTTTAAGATTCAGTAGGAATTTAAAATATGAAACATCCTATTAATAATTTTATATTGAGTACTTGTTGAAATAATATTTAGCATAGGTTGGGCTGCTTAATTTAATCTATTCGTACGTTTTACAATGTGGCAATTTGAAATTTTTAAATTACATTCATGTTCACACTGCGTTTCTACTGGACAGTGCTGCTCTGTTGCTTTACCCTTGTATGCTTTTTTTTTTTTTTTTTTTTTGGCGGGGCGGGGGGGTCTTAATACTGTGTTAAATTACAGTATCTGCGTTTAAGGGCTTTGGGTCTTCCTCGTGCAACTAGAACGTAAGATTGGAACCTTGTCGGTCTCATTCACACCCGGATTCCCAGGCATTTAGGACAGAGCCTAGAGCACTCTAAGTACTCAATAAAACCTTTAAAAATGAATGACTTACTCTGAGACGACAATTCTTTGTGTCGACCGACAAAACTCTGGGACCCAAGTTCTTTGGGTTATGTACGCTGCTCAGTACTGACCATACGCTGCCAACCCTGGGAGGAGGGATGGTAGGATATCCACCTTTGATAAAACCTCCTTCCCTACCGAAAACACTGGTCACCCATCCTCAAACGGGACCTTCCCTCCTCTCCTCTTTCCATAGGAAACCAGTCCCACAGCCCCTCACTGAGCGCTTTTCCCTCCGGCCACACGGCGGCACACGAGAGTACGGCAGCCTATGGTACAGTCCGTTCTCCCCGCGCCTCTAGCACAGTGGACCTTTCCAGTCCTTGAAAAGCATTGTGGGAGGCCCATTCCGCCTTTTTCTTCCTATTCTTCTCGGGGTCTGTGGTGTGCTGGGGGTCCGGGCATGGCTAGTGGCTGGCCACGCGGCTTCCCGCGCCCGGGCGCCGGGCTTCGGAGGAGCAAGGGCGACCGCCCTGAGCCTGATGAGGCGCCTGCGATGGCCGGGTCACGATTAAGGGTCCAAGACTCAAACGCGCACGGCAGCGGCCTAACCTTATGGGCCACATACTCCGAGGATCCTCTTGAGGGCCTGAGGCCGACTTCGGCCTATATTCCCTTCCCGGGAAATGGGACTTTAACAAGATTTGCTTTTATTGATCGCCGATTGTACGCCAGGGAGCCTTGGGCGTAAGTGCAAATCTCTTTCGCGTGACCCGGGAAGGCCCCACGATGTAAATGGCTTTGTGCCTGCCCGAGCCCACTGTGAAGTGGGTCAACATCCGGGCAAAGTGCCTTTGAAATGCATATCGCTACAGGTGTGCTCAGGCGCAGAAGTTGGCCGAAACTGAATGAGTATCACCAACTTTGTAGGTAAGTTTTCTTGTAAGCAAATTGACCAGCTTATTCGGGATAAGAATTGTAACCCACCGTTTAAAGTTTTGTTTCAATTTTCATTAACGGGTAGGATTAGTTGTATTCTTTTCAAGCAGTAATCATTTCATCTCAGCCAGTCAGCAGCCTCTGCCATGGTAGAGCCAAACTTTTGTTTTCACGGAGCCTTTGTGTTGCCCGTTCACTTTTGTAAACTAGTGAATGTGGTGTCAAAAAAGGCATAAATAGATACTTTGCAGCCTTTTCCTGCCCTTAAATTTTATATTTTTGGTGTAGGAACTGCATAAGTGACAGTTTGCATTTACATTAATTTGTATATACATGCGTCTTTTAAGTCGAACAGTGTTCAGTATGTGTTTCTTTTAACCTGTTTTAACTAATTTTTGTTCAGGTGAAAAAATGGATGCCTGAAGCGGACTATTGACCTCTGAACACTTGAGCACAAAGGTGACTTAAGGTAGGATGATATCAAAGTAGAAGTTGTGGAGATTTTATCTTTTTCTTGAGTAGGCAATATTGAAGAGAAAAGGTAAAAACATAGTACTCTAATTCTGGATATCATTAGATTTGTTTCTTTCTAGTAAATGTAAGAAAAACTTGACAAATCTCAGGCATAAAGTCCAGAAATGATATGACTTTTAATACTGAGGATTTATTATTACTAAGTTCTTTATTAATATATTAAAATGTAATGTGTAAATATGTACTTTTCTTTTATTTCAGGACATCCTTGGTATGGATTTTGGAAGTTTGGTCTTCAAAAGTTGCTTGGATCATTTAAAAAATTTCCAGGAGTCTGAGGAATATTGAAATAATTGGGGCTGTGCCTCAGCAGTAGCACACGTACCTGGCATGTTTGGGTTTGATTCTCAACATAGCATATAAGTAAATAAAATAAATTTCTATTGACAATTAAATTTTTTTAATATTAAATAATCAGTGCTATCATGGCCACTGATGGTCTTATGATAGCTTCTGGCAAGGGTCAAAAATAAATAAATACTTTTCTTCCCATGAATTCAAACTACTATGGTTTTCTTGAATTTAAGACACTGGGTAATGATTCTTCCTTTACTTATTAGGAAAGAGCAAATAGTGTGTTCAGGCATTCAGAAAATTTTATTTAAAAGTAATGTATTAGGATCTGGGAACACAATGATAAGCAAAACAGTTCCACCCGCTGGGACCCTTTATCTGGGCCTAAGAAATATCACAAAAGTAAAGCTTCCTTTGTGAGATGAATACCACAGTGAGATTTGACCACATCTGGGAAACCTGAGAAAGCAAAGTTGACTAAAGGTAGATGCCATTTTTCCAAGGTGAATATGGACAAATGACATGTGCGGAGACCTTAGATAACGTGGGTCTGCTTCATATGACAGTTTGGGTTGCTTCCCCTTCTCAGTACTCTGGTTTAGAGTTGAATGCTCAATGAGGCTTGTGAGATGGCTATTACAGGAGCTAGGCATGTTACAAAATGAGGTTAAAGAGGTAGTAAATAGACCAGATCATGTAAGGCTTGTGTTTAAAAGCAAGAAAAGAAAATCCAGTAAGATAACAGTGCAGAGCAAGTGGCCCAACTAGATGCCACTACAGTTGTCCAGGCAAGAGATGACTGATTTGGACCACTGTATTAAAAAGGGCAAAATCAACAGGATTTGATAATATAGAGGTCCATAATGAGTCAGGCTTACATTGTGACAATGGCCCTAAGTCTAGGTTGTGGGCCAGTGCTTAGTTGAAGCCTTTGAAAAATCCAAGTGGCCTCTTAGCAAAACACTGGAGGCTAAGCCACAGTATTCTTGAGGCCATGGAAATAAATGAAACCTGAGTAGAGAAAGGTCCTCTAGATCTGAGGTTTGAAAAACTCAATAAGTAATAGAAAGGTAGAGTATATAGACTGCAAAGTGTTCAGAATGGTAGAAGCAAAAGAGGATTGCATTACATCAGAAGAGAATGTTTTAAGAGTAAAAGTTTGGGGATTTAGTGACAGGAAGATTTTATTAGAGTGGTGGGAGAAGCATCCATATAAGAGTTTTAAATAGGCATTTGAGGGCACTGACTGAAGATGAAGATGATCTTTTCAAAGAATTTAGCCAAGAATAGAGAAGAAAAATTGTAGCTTGAGAGATTTGTGATCACAAAAAATTGAACTGTTAAGTTGTAGTCATGTTTAAACCCAGGTGGCAAAGATATGAAAAGGAAAAGACTGAATATATAGAAAGCAGAGGCAAGGATCCTGAGGAGAGATGGCATCCAAAGCACAGGTAGAAAGGATGGAGGATGAGTATTTGTATTTTCCCCATAGGTTGAAAAGTCATCTGCAGAGAGGAAAGGTCTGAAAAGATCACTAAGGAAAGAGGCAAGTAAGGTGGAATGACAACTGAAATTCACACTTCAAACCTTTTTCTCATTTTTTTTTCCAGAAAACACAACTAGGGCACTTATGAAATTAAAAGCAGCACTTAAAAACAAAGCTTTTTACAACATTTGTAAATAAACAGTGGAACTTAATGCCACAAAATACAATATTACAAAGAACTTTTATATCAGTAAAAATTGCAGTTTGAAAGTGATGTCTTAGTCCTTGTGCACCTCAGCACAAGCTGAAAACCACCAAGAACTGGGAAGAATGTTTTCCTCCCACTTGGTATACTATTGCACAGCAAGCCAGCTGCAGGCCAGGATTCCAGGTTGAAGCATCTGGTGGTGGACAGACATAAGATAGAGCTGGATAGTTTGTTACCCTGTTTCAGAAAGGAAAATTAGAGTTTTTACAAGACTCTCCTTCCAGTTAAAAGGCCCTTCAGCATAGGTATGCTGTAGTTGACCCTTTAAAGAACCAAAAGATTATTATTGTGCTGAAGAAACACTTGCAAGGTTTGAATAAATTCACAGTTTCAAAGTACCAGTGGCACACAACACCCCTCCCACTCCCATTCCTGGCCCTTCACCAGGATCAAGTCTCTATCTTGAGGCGAGCAGCTTGAATAGTTTTTATTGTTTTTGCTGTGTGCTTTCCAGTTAGATTGCTTGTAGATGTCTGAGATTTGTCTTCAATCAGGCTGTCTTTAGACCCATTTCTTCTCTAAAAGAAAATTTGAAAAAATACAGTCAGAAGAAAATACAGCCAAATCAGTTATTTTTAAAACCACATCAGGTTATTATTATTCGGGTTCATAATACCAAAAGCTGTTTGACAAATACTCCCTCAAATATTTAAAATGTGTGTAATCTTAAAATATGTCAGTCTTAACAATTATGTACATGGTGAATTTTATTCATGAAATTTAGGCGTAATTCACCCAAATAAGTCATTTTTTTGTGAATAATTCCTAAACCAGACTCAGTCTTCCCACTTCCAAGCAGGGCAGAGAGATGAAAATACAGCTTGAAGTAACTTAAAATCTTCCATAATTATAAATTGTTTTCAGAAGTCACTAAATGAAACAATATGCACAGCACAATGACTTAAGGGCTCCCTCACTTACCAGAATTTGTGATGTGAGCGCTTGCTTCATCATAGAGAAAAAGGCTGGCTGAGTTACCAGAGCCTGGGCACTATACCCAAAACTTCTAGAATTGAATTTTGTACACAACCCACAACTGGATGAAGCTCTGAGAATGCCACTAACAGTACCTCAAACTTCCTGCCCTTACCAATGATCCAAATGGTCTATAGATCAGACTGGGAAGCATTTTTTTCTTCCATGAAAGTATATCCTCACACATATGGGTGACACTATCCATATTCCTATTTTGAGTCATTTGGACTTAAAAAACAAATCGTCCGAGGCTGGGGCTATAGTTTAGTGGTAGAGCTCTTGCCTCATACATGTGAGACATTGGGTTCAATCCTCAGCTCCACATTAAAAATATTGTGTCCATTTACAACTAAAAAAAAATACATTAAAAATCATCCTTTAGGAAGTAGTTATCTTTCATTTATTCCTATGACTGCCTTAATTTGTAAGAAGGACTGATAGACTAATTCTGCTAAGAATAACAAGTATGAATCTAAAATAGAAGATTTCTAGATAGCTAGAGGTTGTGGTAGAATGCATGTGAGAGAGAAGAAAGGACTTCAGCAGAAGAACCACTAGTACAACAGCTAGGAAGTGATCTAAAACACTACCTTGTAAGTTTGTTTAGCATTGAATTGAGTCCCTATCTAATCCACCCCATTATTGCTTGTGCATTAAAAGGCCAGGTGGGGTATAGACCAGGACACTGTCAGAACTCTGGCACTACAAAGGAGCTTAGGAAACACAACTTTCCTGTTTCTACTGGTCACTCCAGTCCCTTTCCTACATGGTAGCCAGATTAATGGCTTCCTTTTTGGCACTTAGAAAGGCATAAAATCCAAACCCTTTTCCCCTGAATTCTAAGGGTCCTCTGTTATTTACCCTCATTCATTATGCTCAGGCCACACTGGTCTTAGCTCCTCATATAACCAGGCCCTTTCCAGTTTCAGCATTTCTCCCATGCTCTTCCCCCTACTTGCCTCAGCCTTCCACCCACCCACATGGCTGGCTCCTCACCTGCTAGATATCAACTTTAAATGGCACTATCTAAAGTGAGGTTGACTCTATTGACTATTAGACCTTTCTCTCTCTCTCTCTCTCTCTCTCTCTCTCTCTCTCTCTCATATATATAATTTTAGTTGTAGTTGGACACAATACCTTTATTTTATTTATTTATTGCTGAGGATCAAACCCAGGGTCTCACACTTGCAAGGCAAGCGCTCTACTGTTGAGCCACAATCCCAGCCCCTAGATCTTTATTTCTTTAGAATGCTTACTATTTTAATTATTTTGCCTGTTTACTTTTAAGTAGGCCAGGATAAGCAAACATTTTTTCGGTAAAGGACCAGACTGTGGACTATGTTCTTTTACATATTATTTTTTTAACACTGTTATTACCTTCTGGGTTGTACAAAAACAGGCAGCAGACTAAATTTGGCCAATTGGCCATACTTTGATGATTGCTCAGACCAGTGCATGTCAAGCTTTAGAAATGCTCATTACCTAGTTGTTGAATTTTAAATCAAATGCATCCCAGAGTCAGGCTCACAATCAGAGCCATTGATCAGAAGATGCACCTGAGTAACTGTATGCAACAAAGAGCTACCTTTTCAACATTTATTGTGTACAATTTGTGTTTCTTGAAATTCCTCATTGATGGTAATTAAGTTGAGGATCTATAGTAGTTAGAAAAGTAAAACTTCAGTAGAATAAAATTCCTGTTCTTGTTGAAACCAACTTAAATATAAAGCAAAAAAAAAAAAAAAAAAAAAAAAAAACTCTGAAAGCTATTAGTGCTTATTGATAATCATCATAATAATCCTAAGAGGTTTGAGGTTTCCAAAGGCAAAGCCCAAACTATCAGTCATGAGTGTAACTTTGAAAAAGTACTTTCAACTTGAAACAAATTATCTGTTTTGACAATTTATTAGCTCTCCCAGATTTACCTAATCAAACAGTAAGCAGGTTAGAGCAGAAGCTGTGTTTACTGCTAAATCTCCATTCCAGACAAAGACTAAATTTCATTCCTCCAGCTGCCAGGAGGGTTAACTACTTAAGGCTCAAAACTGAGCTGCTTCCCAGGAACTACCCTCTGCTGAAAAGAGCCTTGTCACTTAAGATCTTGTCTCTCCCAGAAGCACTCCTTATCAGATAACTGCCAAATGGTGAGTGTGTAGTATTACAAGGTAGGATAAAGGGCCATCTCTGGAGCTTCCCACAGAATCAACTACTGCCTTAATTGGGACTATATCACACAACTCTTTCCTCTCAAATCTCTTTTCTTTCACTCCCCAACAAGTGTTAATCCTAAGGATACTTTTCAATAAACTTCCTGCTGTAAATCTCCATCTCAGAATCTGTTACTAGGGAATCTAAGCAAAATTAGCACAGACTTATTTCATCCTTGTTTGAATTATTGATAAGAAAGAAACAGGGCAAGGACTGGGGATATAGGTCAGTTGATAGAGCTTGCCTTGCATGATCCCCAGCACCAAGAAAGAAAGAAACAGGGCAAATGAAAGGTAGAACATCATGGATACCACTGGGATCAGGCTTAACAGGTTGTCCGTGATGTATGCATTTTCATACATTTTTGATGAGGAGAGAGACAATAGTTATAATTGGCTTTTCTAAGGAATCCACCATCCAAACAAGAATGAAAACCACAGAATTGTAAACAATAGGCTGACACTGATCCTTCATAAACATTAACTTTGGTTTTGGAGTGATTGTTTACCCAACTATATATCCAAATATCTTATTCAGCCCACATTTTTCCCATTTTGCTAAAAAGTAGACCATGAGAGATGATCTCAAACACTATAGAAATACACTTGCTACAGTGCTTCCCTGATACATCTGTGTACCTCCACTGAGTGTTAATTTTCTTAAAGCAACAAGGTGTTCTACTGTGTCCTTGAATTCCCTTTTAAACACATTTGTAAAACATTTCCAGCATGAAACTCATTCTCTCTAATAGGGAGGACAGACCTAAACTAGGACTAATTCTTCTGTTTGACAATTGAACATCTGTCACCCCACCTGTTAATCTATCACCTACTCTTTGTTTCTCTGGCTCAAAAAATACCTAAAAAGACTTTTTTTTTTTTTTAATTAGTGATGCTATTTTTTCTTTAATCTAATCAAATGATCTTTCAGTCTTCAAAATACTTGGCATGGTCACAAGGTTCAGATCATTTTAAATCTCACACTATCCTCTACCTCTTATTCCTAACTTAATCAGGCTGTGTCTTGGTCTTGAGCGCTGCCTCCTCATTCCTTCTCCTTCCATGTTTTGTGAATGCTATTTGAATAGAATCTCAAAAAGGAAGTTAATGATTCATCTGAAGGAACTCCCCAAAGCACAAAATGCTTCTCAAAATGGCCATCAGTACAACACTTAGAACTTTATTATTACTAACCTGATGAACTGTAGAGCCACCAGAACCCTGAGCATCTGAAGAACGAGTCACTGGAAGTGGTGGTACAAGATCTGTTTTTGAACTGCAGAGATGAGTTTCAGAATTAATGAATGAATAACACCTAGAATCAGAACTTAACTTGAAAGAGGGTGATGGTGTAGATATAGGACATTTCCATCACTGCAGAGAGCTTTACCAGACTCTGCTTTTCCAGAGCCACCAGGCAGGTGACATCCACAGGCGACCTACTTACTTCACTTCTGAGAGAACAGATCGCTCTCCATCTGAACACTGGGACCTTCGATACTGGCGGTAACTTCGTGGTGAATGAGAATGCCTGATGCGGACTGGGTCACCCTGAGTCCTGAACAAGAAATACACAAACAAACAAATAAAAATATATACACACACACCCATACACAAAACACAAACAAATATGGCAAAAGTCAAAACAGGATAATTTGGAATTTTCCCTTAATTTTGAAACCAAAAAAAATAAAGAAAAAAATTACCATCAGACAGATTATTCAAATAATTTGTCTCAGCCAGGCATGGTAGTACATGCCTATAATCCCAGTGGCTCAGGAGGCTGAGGCAGGAGGATCATGAGTTCAAAGCCAGCCTTAGCAAAAGTGAGGCACTAAGCAACTCAGTGAGGCCCTGTCTCTAAATAAAACCCAAAATAGGGCTGGAGATGTGACTCAGTGGTGAGTGTCCCTAAATTTAATCCTTAGTGCAAAAAATAAAATTTGTCTCTTCTGGACTCTAAAAGCATGAGTGCCTTAATTTTCACCTGTTAACAATAGGAAAATGCTTCCTTGACCATACATGAATATGGAGCTCTTTATAGTATTTGTATGAATTCAAAGGTATGTGTACATAATATATACAAATATATATATATATATATACATGTATATATAGGCGTGTGTGTATATATAGGTGTGTGTGTGTGTGTGTATACATATATGTATATATTTACCACCAAATTTTCAATGAAATTACTCCTTACAGTTGAATGCTTTCCAGTAGTATGGAAGAAAAATCTACACTGCAGACAAATGGCACTACTATCAGAAAAAGTTGATCATTATCATAACTATTAACTTGACTGCCATTAAGAGTTTGATTTCCAGCCAGGCATGTTGGCACACACCTGTAATCCTAATGACTTAGGAAGCTGAAGCAGGAGGATTGCGAGTTTGAGGCCAGCCTCAGTAACTTAGTGAAGCCCTAAGCAGCTTAGCATGACCCTGTCTTGAAATAAAAAAATAAATAAGGACTGGGGATGTAGCTCAGGTGTAAAGTGCCCCTGGATTCAATCCCTAGTACCAAAAATTAAATAAATAAAAAAGAATTTAATCTTCACTTGAAAGTTGTTAATATTAAATGTGGTTGACCACAAAAACATGATGTCAGGTGGTAGATATGTTAATTAGCTTGATTTAATGATTTTACAATGTAGACATTAAAATATCACATCATATACCATAAGTATCTATAATTTTTGTCAATTATATCTTAATTCAATTATATCTAAAATTCAATCTTTGGCATAAAAACAGGTTAGGGTAGGCTGGAGAACACCAATCAGCAATTCTTCTGAGTGGGAAAGAAGCCTGTGTTGCAGAAGAGAAATAAAGCAAGGAAGAAGGCTCCCACTTTCTCTGAACCAATTATAGCAAGGCAGGAAACACAGTAAAAGGTATGCTGTAGCCACACTGATGAGCAACCAGGGGTACCTATCAGGCTTTCATGAAGACTATCCAGCTGAATGTGCTAGCTCTATGACAGGGACCATCTTGGTCTTACAGTTTTGTGGTAAACATAATTCTCTTGATGGTAAAATAGTGGATAAATGCAAACTTTGTTACCAATAAATAAATACTTCAGAAATATATATATATATGGGGCAGGTACTGGAGATGGAACCCAGGGGTGCTGAATCACTGAGCCATATCCCCAGTACTTTTTAATATTTTACTAAAGACAGGGTCTCGCTGAATTGCTTTGTGCGTCGCTAATCTGCTGAGGGACTGGCTTTGAACTCACAATCCTCCTGCCTTAGCCTCCCAAGTTGCTGGGATTACAGGCATGCACCACTGTGCCCAGCAAGAATTTATTTTAAAACAGACATTAATCATCAAAAGCCCCCTTGCACTTACCACATACAAAAGGGGCCTCTAACAGGATATTGACTAGAGTGCAGAAGTAAGATACACCTTTTTCTACCTCTCTCCCTATATTCACTTTTAACTTTAGTTAAAATACACAGACAAATTAAAGCACTCTATGGAACACAAATAAAGGGTAAGAATGAATAACTTCCTTAGAAGCACAAATAAAACTTTTGTGAAAAGATTTTCAAAGACGTACTCTATTTTAGTGTATGGGATCTCTTTCAATTGCTCTTCTGACATTCCAGAGGGATCCACAAGTTCCTTTCTAGAGGAAAATAAGCAAGAAAATAAATGTGGCCATGCTCATATACACACTATTCTCTTTCACAATCAGCAAATGAGTTTTCCCTTTCAAATTTTGTCCCAAAATGCAGTGTTAATAAGACTAATATAAGCTGGGAGCAAAGATGAAAACATGAGAATGTGCCCAAGGTAATACGGGAGGAAACCTCTTCTGGAGCTCTTTTGCCTTCTTTCAGTTTTACCACATCCACACTTTTCAACTGTCTCTCATTTCCTATGAAAATTCTGCTTCCCTCCCCTGTGGTAGGTATCTATTTATTTCTGGATTTTTTTCCCCTCGGTATTCATTTGTAAACTATTGGACTGTCTGAGTCCATTTACAGGTAAGCTAAGTGACCCCAGGAGAGGAGGTGATAGGGCTGCCTGTACCATATCATGCTGATAAGACTAGTTGCCAGGCCTCAGACGGAGGCTGCCTCTTTGTTATAACAGTCTTTCTTGTAACTATATTCAAACTACATGGATTAAAACAACAACAACAACAAACTTCCTGGGTTTTGAAAACAATGAGGAAAACTCAATACTCACTGTATATGCTTCCATAATTCCTCTTTTGCTTGAATATCAGGGCTTCTCCTATAAATGAAGAAAACAATGCTCACCTCTGAAAATATGCTTCATCTGCAATCTAATAGCTAACTTTAATAGTTTTCAGACTGTGAAGGTCTTATTTGCCAGCTGAGACCAGACAAAGACTGAGCAAGGAGGGCTACAGCAATGGTCAGTACAAAAACACCAGGTAATTCATCTGCTGGTGCCACTGAAGGGGGAAAAAAATCACATAAAAACCACCCATAACCAGAGTTTCATTTACTTAATGAGGTTAGAGCTGCAGGGCTAAATCCACGTATCCTCCAGTGGTGACTGTACAATCAAGAATGATTCAGGGACTTTGGTTTCTGATCATGCTAGCTATTGCTAAGTATTGCAAAAGAAAAACTCATCCAACTACTATTACTAGGTGAGATTCCCAACATGATCTGTGATTACTTAATACAAGCCAACAACCACAAGGGAAAAGCAACTGGTGGGACATCCCAGATGGCAGACTATATACAGATGATCCATCTTTCATGTGACATCTGGTATAACATTTCTGCACCAACCAAAACCTGGGTACACAAAAGCTAAAGCTATCTGTTGGCTCCCAATCATGTGGCCTCACTGAGTTGCTGAGGCTGGGTTTGAACCTGTGATCCTCCTGCTCAGCCTCCTGAGCCAATGGGATTGCGGTGTGTGCTACTGCACCCGGCCATGTGGCCATTCTTTATATGTTCTTTTCTCTCCTTAATTGTCAATCCACAAATCCCTTCCTCAAGAACTACTTAAGTAGAAATTATACCACAGTCTTTAATGTCACAGAATGAGAAATCTGAAATCAATGTCCATGTGTTCCTGTTCTTCCTCGTATGAACTATTAACCCCTACTGTAGCAGTGAATACTAAAAATCTATTATCACCCAAATTCTTGTCACAGAATGATTTTTTTCCTATTGAGAAAATGATAAACTTTCATCAGTCCCCTCATCAGAACAAGAGGTCTAGTTAATAGCTCCAAAGAAAGTTCCCAAACGTTAACAATTGAAAGGACAAGAGTTAAGCAAGGCCACTGATGTACTCTGTCCTGTGGAATTTTATGTTGATCATCTGTATCAGCATTTTGGGGGCTCTACTATTGTTTCAACATATGATATCATCAATGCTTTCAACAATAAGGGTATGACTAAGGAGTTCTGGCAGAACTTTCTGAGCCTACAGAATATGATAAGCTATTTTCTAGTCGCTGAATTAAAGAAGTAGTTTTTGTCTTTGGGGGAGAAAAATGTGTCAATGAAGACATAGGAATCAATTCAAAAGGAGTCAAAACAAAAAGGAGTTAAGGGGATGGGATGATGACTTAGTCTCAGAACAAGAACGGTATTATTAAATGTAGATTTTGCTTGTTATAAGAATAAAATTGTATACGTAAAACACACACACACACACACACACACACACACACACTTCTAAAAACTACTTCTTTGGAAGAATCTCCTGAATGGAATCTGCCTTCCTATGTTTGGTTGGTTTGATTCACCAGGTTCTAAGCTAAACCAGTAAATGCTAATCTCTGAGAAGGTGTTAAAAAGGCACCAAGCTATTTTTCCATTCTATGACAATGGTGATTCAGTTCTAACTATACCAGCATCTGATTCTCATAGAAAGTTACTCAAGAGTCCGGAGTATTGCATAATATTTAGGCTAAGAAGCTGGTTTTGCTGATAATCATTCGTATTTCAGAAAGGTACAATAGTACCTTTCTGCACATTATAGGAGGATTCCTTCCCCTCAGCATTATTGACATTTTGGGTAAGAATTCTTTGTTGTAAGGGTCTGGGAACTCAAAGATGATTAGTGGCACCTATGGCCTCTACCCACTAGATGCTAATAACACCTCCCCAGTGTGACAACCAAAAATGACTCTAGACATTGTCCTGTGAGGAGCAATGCTGCCCCCAACTAAAAACCACTAGTTAAGGGTATGACCTAAGAAGTGGCTAAGATTAGGTAGTGAAACTGAGAGACAAAGTTATTTATAAAGATCCATTAGGTGACTACTGAAATAGTACTGCAGAAAATGATAGGCAGGAACGAAATGTTACGAATAAGGAAAGTGCCAGGGCATAGTTGATGACAACAATAAGGAGGAGTGGCGAGTGGTATAATTTGATGGCGTAAGATTAAAGCTGAATGCTGTTAAGGAGACTGGAGGGAGAATGAGAAAAATAATGGGCAAGGAGGTTATACACCCCAGGACCACCCTATCAGGCCCAGTGATGAGAAATCCTAAGTATGAATAATATATAAAATCCTGGTAACAGTGGATATTTCTGAGTATTGGAATTACAGAGGTGTCTTATTTTTCTTTTCTTTTTTTTTTTGATACAGAGTCTCATGCTGTTGCCCTGTCTGGTCTCAAAACTCCCAGGCTCATATGACCCTGCTGCCTCAGCTTCCTAAGTGCAGGGATTGTAGATATGTCACCATACCCAACTAATTTTCTTATTTATTATTTCCTGTCTTTTCTGATTTTTTTTAAGTCAAGATAATTTCTTATATTAATTATCAGGAAAAAAAGGTAGTTTCTAAGTATTTTTTTAAAAAAAACTATTATTATTGTAATTCCTTAGGAAATGCCTTTCATTCCTATCTCAGAAGACTTAGCAGAAATGTTATCTTAACCTGAATGAGATCATCAGTCCTTCTAGCCATAAATATTGTTCCTAAAAGATTCAGGAATTTAGTCTTTAACTTTAAGTCCTAGAGCACCATAAGATCATATTTTTAACTAAACTGAGCTCTGAAATATCCAGGATTTTCAAACAACTAAAGGCAAAAAGAAAAGTTCAAAGCTTTAAAAAATAATAATAATTTTCTGACTGTTAGAGCTCCTATGATTGAAAAAAAATATGAACATCAGCTACATGTTAATGAAGAAGATATTATTTTTATGCTTACATCTGCACTCATTTAATCAATAATTTAGGATGAATTCATGTTCTGTCTGCAGCTCATCATTTTGTGGATTTAGAAAGCTGTGAAATATTAGCAGTCATTTTTCATAATTAAAAGACTTTTCATTATGCAGATGTTTTACTTAAATTCTCCAAAGAAGGCCCTCAGGAAATAGACTGCTGAGTTGTCCAAAGATAAGACGTATATGAAAAATAAACATTCAGTCCAATATTTTCCAAAAGCATCCTTCATCTACACCTCATACAAATATTCCACTTCAAATTAATCAGAGAAATTAGTTTGACTGAAACCTTATTTACAAATCAATTCCCTTCTCTCAAAAGCCCAAAACAAGAACATTTTATAAATTTATAAAGGATTTAAACTCCATTATTACATATAGTCTTTTCATATAACCTCCAAATTCTCCAGTTATCTAAGAAACATTACACAATAGTACATACTATATATTATTACATGATAGTATATACTATACTACATTTGTATGCCATATTGTATTTTAAAATAGTACAGATAGCAACATTTGACTTGTATTATTTTTGTGATCTTTACACTGATCATAGCTCAAATAGGAAATTTAGAATTGAAAATAGTTAAATTCATAAAATTATCTTTAGTTACAGAATTCAAAGTATTTGACAAATTTCTTGGTAATTTTTCATCTTATTCCTGCGTGGTCAGAATTAACAAATTAGGAGATAGCTTACTCTTCTCCCTCATTTCCTCTCCAAATTAAAGAAATATTGAGAAGCCTTGGAGCCTAGCAACCTAGCTTTTAAAGATTGCTCAGGAATCCCTTCCAGAAACTTCACATTAAATCTTGAGCGACTATAGCAAACTTCTGTTTTGTTTTTAACTGAGAACACTGGTTGGCCCTGACAAACCCATCTTCCACATTATCAATTACTTTTCAAGGACAACAGTAAGACAGTATCACCACCAGAGGGAGCCCGTGCTTACTAGAGCACACAAGTGGAACCTTTCAAAACTATTGTTTGAGCTTCAGTGCTTTCCCCCATATGGCACGCAATGAGTAAAGGCTTGCTCAGGTTGAATGTGCTTTCACTGAGACCGACTTGTTTTCTAATGATAGTAAACATGAATGTCATAGCAATGTAGCTAGAAAATATATTAAGTGGCACTGTACTTAATGATTTACCAGACAAGATCCTTATATTTCAGTTCAATGCTTTTAATGCAAATAAAAGACAGCCTAATTTGTCCAATATAAAGTAATTTGTCATCTTGCAGAGAGTTTCCATTTGACTGCCTGTTTAGCAACTCAAACCTAACAAAACAGAAAGTTTGGCTTTCATATCCTCAGCCCATTCCTTGGTTTCTCAGTAAAATGGCATGGTTACCCACTCAGTTGATCAGCTCAAAAACTAAACAACATCCATAATTCCTCTCATACTACAAATATGCAAGCTCTACTTTCAAAATCCACTGGTCTCTATTTCCATCACCATCATCTCTTCTGGGCTATGATCATTTCTCACCTGGATGACTGCAAACTCTAATCCGCCTTTTTGCTTGTTTACTCTTTGTCAATCTGCTTTTACCTGGTCAGAGCAACTTCTGAGTGAACACTCTTTTTCTATCTTATCTGTACTTTGGCCATATAAGTTATCAAGTTAATTAATCAAGCTCAGCCATACAATCATCTCAAATATTTGCTAGATCTTTTTATAGTTTGCTTATAAATTCCAGAAAGACACACACCTAACTCTTAATAGGTCTGTTTCATACAGCTGCACTGTTCTGAGAAAATCCTCTATATGATCTGATAATTTGATCATATAGGTAAAATTTCAATGTTTAAATAAAATTTTAAATTTAAAGTACCATTAGATTATTTTTTTTTCCGATTCCAGCTGATCTGATAGAAACAATTCCCAACTTAAAGTTATTTCTGTGTTTCAAAAGAGCATTCCTTAACTTCTGCTTCTTGCCACAATGAAGTAAATGATACACCTAAAGTAAAATACACAAAGCAAAGGTCTGCAGACATCAGGCAGCAGAAGTCTGTGATCTTTGAGAGAAGGGAAGCCCAGGGTGAGCTCCTGCTTGCTCCAGCTTTCTCCCCGGGGGGCACCTTCCCAGTGTGCAACTCAGGAAGCAACAGTCTCACACTGCTGAGGTGTCAGAGATCAGAGACTGAAGCTGTTGACCAGGCTGAAACTCAAGTGCAGGATGAAAGAAAAAAAAAAGCAGCTCTAGAGACTCTAGAAGTTTGTATGAGGATTTTTCTTAAAACATTGATGGGGTCTGGTCACGAAACACAGTCTCCACACACGCTAGTGAGACCCCAAGAGACCTAACAGCACAGCTGATGAAAGGCTAAGTGCAATCAGAAGCACCAGGCAGGGTGAAGTCCTGCTGTCACAGTGCAGAACCCATGCTGAGGACTGTGTGCATTCAACTAAGACTCCAGAAAGGCCAGGCTGTGGGAGCAGAGACCAAGCCTAAAGTAGAGAACAAACATATCTTGGGCTGATGACAAAAGCCCCATTTTATGAACGTATTAAACAAGTTTGATAATATCAAGAGGATGGGACAGAAATTGAACTGCCTGACAACAAAATTTGACCCTGTTTAAAAGAAGACTACATAATCCAGACCTCCTACAATGTGTCTTCTAAAATTTCCAGCATATAATAAAAAATTACTAGACATGAGTCAGGGAATTATAACCATACTCTAGGAAAAGAAACAAACAAACAAACAAGAGCAGTCAACAGATACACAGACTTTGAGAAGGACTATATGTGGTTATGTGAACTCTTTTAAGAACGCAAATTACAGAGACCCAATATAACAAGTAGAAAATACGAATGGCATCACATGTGTTAAAGAACTTGAGTCTACAATTCAAAACTTCCCACAAAGAAATCCCGGGCAGAAAGAATTCCACTGGTAAATTGTATCAAGTATTTAAAATGTAAATAATGCTGATTTCAATTTGTTTACTTTCAGAAAACAAAGAAGGAAGACTTCCCAAGCCATTTTGCATATCCACTATAACTCTGCTACCAAAACCCAAAGGTATTACAAAAAAATTATGCGCCAATATTTCTCAAAAACATAGAGAAATCTTAACAAAATAAAATCCAATAGAATCTAGCAATGTACTAAAAGGATACTATATCATGACTACAAGGGACTGAACCTTGGAATATGTCATTCAAAACTGAACCAATACAATTCCTACACTAAAAAATATAAAGAAGAAAAACCCATATAACAATCATCTCAAGAGATGCAGAAAAAGTGCATAACACACTTCAAAAATCATTCACAATGAAAACTCTTCAATAACTCTTAGCACCTAGGGACAGAAGGGATCTTCCTCAGTCTCAGAGCTAGCATCACACTTAATGTGACATGTCTAATGCCTCCCCCTAGAAAGAACAAGCCAACAATATCTAGTTTCTTCCCACTCCTGTTCAGCATGGGATTCAACACTGTACTGGAGGAGCTAGCCAGCACAATAAGGGAAGAAATTGAAAAAGAAGGCAAGAGGATTAGAAATAAAGGAAAACTGCCTGAATTTATAAACAATATGATTGTGTATATAGAAATTTCCAAGAAATTGCCCCAAAAGGGGCAAGCTTCCAGAATTAATAAGAGAATTTAACAAAGCTCTAGGAGAGCAAGATACTATGTGTAGTTTTTTTACAATCATGTTTTTCAATAGACTGGCAAATAATTAAGACAACTTTTAAGAATATACAAGTAAAATCATTAAAATATTAAATATTTATGATTAATCTTAACAAAAATACTATAAATATAGCAACGATTAAAATTGTTACTGAAAGAAGTTAAAGACAGACAAATGGGTGGGGAAGATATTAATTTTGTCAAAATTGATCTATAAATATAATCCTAATTTAAAGCCTACAGTCTTTTTGGGGTGAGTAGTAAAAACTGACAAGCTGACTCAAAAATTTACATAAAAAGCAAAGGGAAAACAATCTTGGGAAAAAGAAAAAGAACAAAGTTGGAGAATTTACACTGTTTATTCAAGTTTTAGTATAAAATTATAGTAACCAAGACAGGATGGTCATTTAGCAACAAATAAATAGATCAATGAAGTAAAATTGACCTACATATAGATAGTAATTTATTTTACACACAAGCTCTAAGGCATTTCAATGACAATAGTCTTTGCTACAAATGGTACTGAAATAACTGGATGTATGTCTCAATCTCTACTCAATACATATGCAACAATTAATCCTGGATGGACCACAGATCTAAATATAAAAACAAAATCCATGAAGGAAAAAGAAAAACATATGAAAGATTCTTTGTAATATTGAGGTGGGCAAAAAATTGTTATGTTTATAAACAACATAACAAAATGAAATACTGGTTTTCATCAAAATTTAAAATGTCTGGTCATCAAAAAGAATGTTCAGACCATAAGGCAAATGACAGGCTGGGAAAAAGTATTCACCATACACATATCTGAAAAAGGACTTATATCCAGAATATATAAAGAACCCTACAAATAAGTAATGGTTTTTAAAAATGACAAAGGAACTTCTGACTTCTGCTTTAAGAACAACAGTTTAATTAGGTTTCCAAACAAAAACATAAAGCAATGAATAAATATATAATGTGTATACTGCTCAGTGACAACTAAACCTAAAAGGTTTTCTGTTACAAAAGAACAGAATCTTTGATTGCAATGTACTACCTACTTAAAAAAAAAAAAAAAAAAAAAAAAACACTCTGGGTTAAGTTCTAATCAAAACATCAGCATCTAAGACTACTCATACTAGAAGTGAATGTCCTCTCGTGGCCTGCTAAACTGACCTAGAGCTCACAGCTGTCCTCGGGCACACTCTGACCTGTCTCCCTCAAAGCTCCCACATACCTACCCAGATTTTTTTTTTCCTGTATAAACTTCTCAACATCCTTCCACTGCCCTACTTCAGACATTAATCCTTCCTCCCATGTGTAGATGACAACATACAAACCGTCCAGGACCAAAGGGATCTATAGGTAGCCCCAGCTCACTTGAAAAAGATATGCTTTGGGAAATGGGTGGTCTAAATCTTGATGCATAGATACACACACACACTGCACACAAACACACATAAACTTTATCAGCTTGAAGAAAATTAATTTGAGGGACTGGCAATCTCACCACTAAGGGGTAATTGTGCTCACACATGGCATTGCCTAGCAACAGGAGTGCATAAACCCCAACACAGGAGTGTAATGAATCGCTGACTACTGCTCACAAATGGTAATTTGATGGGAAGACATTCACATCTGGTTTAGTCTGGAGCAAGACTTCAGACAATTCTGCAGACTCAAATTGAGAGAAGCAGCAGGTACTTCACCAAGGCCAGGCTTCAGAACAAAGGAGACTATTTCTATTTATCCAGCTGGGTATACGCATTTGTTTAAAAACAGCACAAACAAAACAGAAATATAGTTTTGATAGCCTTGTTTCTATGACATTTTGTTTTGGCTGTGTTCCATCTTCTATAGCTTCAAATATATTTAATGAAAGTCACAAATAAAGGTAAATTTGACAAATAAGCACAGGGTAATTGTGGCTTGGCTACACTACATTAAAAGCCCCGGGCATCTGCCTGCTACTTGAAGCTCAGTGTTTTTGAATCAAGGTATAAAAAGAGCTAACATACGAGCGAGATCTGTGTCTGGATCGCCTGTTGTTGGGGTCTGCTTGGTTTTTTTCCTTTTGTCTCCTTAACACAGCTTCCCACTGAGGCGCTGAATCAACCATATCGTTCTCCTGCCGTATTCTGAAAAGAAAAATCATTCATCTAAAGTTAACACCCATACATGGTGCCTTGTTTCTCCGTTCATCCTAAACTTGCTTTTCACTTAAACAACAGAAATTTTATTATAACCACTGAAAGCTAAGAAAGTATTAACAGGATTAACATATTCTAAAGTAGATAAGTGTGTGTGTGTACATATGTACAAATATATACACAGAGACATAAATAAATATATAAATATGTTAATTTTTCCAGACTTCTTTGACTTTAAATTTTCTAAGAAAAGATGTATCAAATAAAAACTCATTCAAAACACATTTAAATTCTGACTAAACAAAGAATGATGTAGCATATAGTGCCAATGTGAAACACAATTTTTTTTTTTTGATACCAGGAATTGAACCTTAGAAAAGCTTAACCACTGAACCACATTCCTAGCCTTTTTTTATTTTTATAATTTTGAGACAGGGTCTCGCTTAGTTGTTGAGGCCTCACTAAGTTGCTGAGACTGGCCTTGAACTTGCAATCCTCCTGCCCCAGCCTCTGCAGTTGCTGGGATTACAGGCACAAAATCATTTTTCAAATATGCTACTTAAAATAGCAATGAATAATCTTACTTTGCAATGCTTTTAAAAATTCACGTTAATCATCCATGTTATCGAGGACAATAGGTAGCAAACTAGAAGTGTGAAGTCAAACATGCTGGCTGGCATAAGGCACTAGCGGCTGCACATGTGTGCATACACTACTCTGATGCAGCTGCTCTCTTGTGGAACAGGCAATGAAGGGTGTACACCTGATGTGGCCAGGGACCAGGCAGGGAAAGAAAAATAGGGACGGGTTCTGTGGGGCACAGGCCGTGGCCATGTGAGATCACAGAATAGTGTTAGCAAATCCTCTACTTTTAAAAAAAGTGAATTAAAAAAAAAAAAAAACTGAATTTCTACGGTGAACATTTCCAATGTTCACATATTGACAAACAAGTCTGAATTTCAAGGCACTGTCTGACCCTAACCCTATCCATGGGCCACACTCAGTCTGCAGACGCTTTTGGATGTCAATGTATCAAGTCTTTGTAATAATGAGGTGAGGTATTGGAGGAGGGAGGAGAAAGAAACAAGTACTTAATTGAAGTTAAGTGCTTCATTAATGTGTGGATGCTGTCTGGAATGCATGGCAATGATGCTGTGAAGCTGTGACTATTCCCAGCAAAAATCAAGCACCTGTTATGTGAGCATTTAACTTTTAATTTATGTAAGCTCAGCAGGAAGCTGCCCTGAGTGAGCACCTCCCCATTGTGGAGAACAGCTGGGAACTGTCAGGATCCCAATCTGGTACTGAAACTGCAAGAGCACAACTGCAGGAGACCAAGCAGGAAGCGCAGGCAAGTTTGAGTCCTTTCTGTCTGAACAGATGGCTCTTGGTTCCTCTGTTCTGGCACTTAGACTATGGGCTGTATAACTGGCTTTGCTTCTAAGTGTAAATCAGCAAATGATGGCAAATATTCATTCCACATAGAATTTAAATGGAGATCACATAAAGCAAATTCAAGTTGAAAAGAACAGCACCTTATGAGGAAGAAACAATTTAAAATCTCTAGATTAAAGGGGAACTGTATTAAGTAAAAAATTATCCAAGGCTTTGAAGTGTGTACATTTCCTCTCTAAAGTTTTCATTGCTAATAGGCTATTATTTGAAGATTAACAGGACACAGTCATGGTACTTTTCAGAAATTTAAGAACATAGTTCCTTCTTCTCATGGCAGGTACAGAGGAAATTAAAATTGGACATATACTGCTATGGATATTAACATCAGAAATATCTGAAGAAAAACATGAGAAGGTACACTGCTGTGGTCATAATCACTAATCGTACTTTGAAACAAACATTCCCATTTGACAATGCCATACAGGTACTTGTGCACCTGTATACATACATACTTCATGCCAGAACCTACATTTACAAGCCTTCCATGGATCACATGACAGTTCCTGCCAGGCCAGCTGGTATAGGCAGCCCTGGACACTTCCGGAGCTGAGGGATCAGGCTCAGGAAGAGAGAAGGGAAGGTGTCAAGCTGGTAAGCTGGAACCTCCCCTCCCACAGGAACCCACACCTCAAATGCTGGGCTGAGGATTAGACACAAACCCAGGTCTCTTGCTCCTATCCCTGGAGTCTATTAGCCAGCGGCTTCCATTCTGGATGAAATTGCTGCACAGCTCAATGGCAGAATTAAATTTTACAATGTGAAATGTTTTTTATCAGGAAGTTGGGATCTTTACATATTTTTAAGAGGTTAAACCTACTAAAGCAAGACTAAGGCATGACTTAGGCAAACATAAACTTTCCCCAGAGTATAGACTTTTCAAAGAAGCACAATTATTGTGAGCTCATTCTCATCCATTGTGAATTTCACAGGTGACTTTTATACTTGGACAATGATGAGAATAAAATTAAACTCCAGACACATACATACTTCCTTTTTCCTTGCTATCATAAGGACTGAATCAGAATAAACTTTGGATGACAGCTTGTCCCTTTAACTTCTGTTTTTCTAATTGAAAAGTCTCAAGTGAGGGCAGTGACTCTCTGTCAGTTAATATCCTTGTGACCCACATGCTTTAAAGACAGATGCCCTCTATTGGTGATGCTGTTTCATAAATATTCTAACAAGATGCATTAAAAATGTAAGGCCCATTGGAGAGTCACAACAGAAGCACATTTTCCTGAGTAATGGTGGTACGGCAGCCTCAGTCTGTAATGAAGTTTGAAATTACACCCTTACAAAAAGCCTCTGGTTAATGGTGCCTCATTACAAGAATGAAAGTGTCATTTCTTCTATTGCTGAACTGCTCCAGAAAACACAGGTGCTACTTGGAAAGAAAAAAAAAATCTTAGCCTTTAAAAGCAAGACTATTGTAGCACACAGTACTTACAAGACAGAAGCTATCTATTTTGTTTATGCATGAGTAATAAAGAAATCTTTAAATGAAAAAGCATATCTCCTATAATGATTCTTACTTTTAAGTCTCATTTATTCTTAAGTGTAGGTACACAAGTATTTTCTTTTCTTTTTGTTCCCCTCCTTTCCTGCTATATTACAATTTTGATATAGAGATTTAAACATTTTAAAGCATTAAAATACTGCAATTATATTGACATAGAAACTTTTTAAAAAATCAAAATGCTCTTACATCATAATTACGAAATGATCAAGGGGGCAAAGAGTCGATTGTCATTTATATTACAGATCTGATTATTTCAAATGTTGTAACAATGAGCCACAAAAAAACAAGAAATGTTTCCTTCTTGTACTCTCTAATCCAAATGATAATCTACATGCATCACACTTCATATATTTCCCCATCAAACAACTACAGAGAGTGAACAGCAAGAGTAGGAAGTACATCGTAACAAGGCTTTTGAATTTTAATTAATGTCCAAGGTGAAGGTTGTTTCCAAACACAGCAACTTCTAGCAATGTTTCAGAATAGGAGAGTTCTAATATATTTTCTCAATTTCTCACCAAACTTTAATGTTCTACTTTCTTAGAATACATGGGCAATGTAGATCTTAACTGCATTTGACACTTAATTAAAGTTCGCAAAGGTTTAGAAGATGAAATGCCATATAATCGCTTCACAACAATAATGAAGATAATAACTATTCCTAGTCTCTTCTTCCCTATTATAGTTCTGCCTCTTCTGCAAAATTCTTCACATTACCAAATTAAGTCTTATACAAATCTCCCTGGGTTTTACTTTGTCCTCTCCCTTTATCAGTTTTGTTCCTAATAGGACCTTCCTTTACATCAATTCTTAATTTACTTCTAATTCACTGAAATAATGGCGATGATTAATGTTGAACCTGAGAATTTTTTGGAGTTCAATGTAAAAGGAAACTTCAAGCTGATGTGAGCAGCCCATTTTGCTCTTGGGTTTTATCTATTTCCACACCTCTGCCAATCTGGCTCTCACATCTTGGGCAAATCACTTGTCTGCTTTGGTAGGGTTTCAGTCTCTTCATATACAAAATTATTACAGAGATCGTTTCTATTTTTTTTTTTTTTGTATTAGGAATTGAACTCAGGGGCACTCAATCACTGAGCCATATCCCCAGCCTTACTGTGTACTTTATTTAGAGACAGGGTCTCACTGAGTTGCTTAGCACCTCACTTTTGCTGAGGTTGGCTTTGAAATTTCGATCCTCCTTCCTCAGCCTCCCCAGCTGCTTTGATTACAGGCATGTGCCACCGGGCCCAGCCAATCTTTTCTAATTTTAAGACTCAATATTTCTCTATTTCTATTTTATTTCCAGGCCAATCAGACACAATGAAGCAAATTTCTACTCTTCAACTATAGCATAATGCTCCAGACAATTGCTCCATGTGGCCACTCCATTGTTAAAATTAAATCAGCAGGTTCCAACTGATCATGAACTTGTGTTCTCATCAACTGCACTCATTTTTGGATCACCTGCTCTAAAGCAATCTTCATTTTTTTTTAGTGGTTTTTCTTCCCTAGGGAAATTTAAGTTGGTTCCAGGCATCTGTCAACATCCTCCCTTGAGACTAGCGAGCAAATAAATCCATTCACTTTTCCCACTTTCCCCTATCACCAATAAATTATTCTTATTTGCTCTTAAAGTTGCTTCAGTCTCTTCCATTTATTCCTTGTGCTCCTGTTACCAAGATGAGCTACCTATGGTGCAATTTCCCTTTCAAACTCTCCTATTTTCAATATTTTTTATCCTGTTTTGTTCCCACTCAGTAATACAACAGCATTCCTCCATTGCTGTGGCTGTGCATTTCTACAGTCATTTCTGTCAACTTGGATTCATGTTCTGGAAGCCCTATATCACCCATGTCATAGGTCTAAATCTTGGTCCAATTAAAGTACAAATCAGAAGCCCTTGCATCTATGGCATGGTGACCAGCATCAGCTTCCACTGGCTTTGTCTGAACTGTCCTCTCCATAACCACAACGTTCACCATCACCAATTTTTATCTTTACATCAATCAGG